CTATCCTCAAAGATGAAAGAGCCCAATACAAAAGATAAAGTGCAAAAGATTAGGCTGAAGCATTCACAACCATCTTCAGTCAAAAGTGCCAAATCGATGATCCATCTCTGCCTCCACCAGTGGTCCACAACATTACAGGTACTAATCTTCAGCCAATTCAATTTACTCCATGTGATATCAAGATACATTTGAAGGCACTGGATATTGCAAAGGCTATGGGCCCTGACAACATTATGGCAATAGTGCTGAAGACTTGTGCTAGCCAAGCTCTTTCAGCACAATTACAACACTGGTATCTATCTACCCAATAATGTGGAAAATTGCCCAGGTACATCCTGTACACAAAAAGCAAGTCAAATTCACCTGGCCAATTATGGCCCATCAGTCTACTGTCAATCATCAGTAAAGTGATGGAAGGTGTCATCTACAGTGCTATCTAGTAGCACCTGCTCAGCAATAACCTGCTTAATGATGCTCAGTTTCAATTCTGCCAAGGCCAATCAGCTCCTGACCTCATTACAGCCTTTGTTCAAGCTGAATTCAAGCTCAAAGAGCTGAATTTTAGAGGTGAGGTGAGAGTGACAGTATTTGTCATCAAAGTTTCATTCAACTAAATGTGGCGTCAAGCAAAATTGTGATCATGAATATTAAGGACAAACTCTCCACTGGTTGAAATTATTCCGAGCACATAGGAAAATGGTTGTGGTTGTTGATGGTCACCCATCTCAGCTCCAGGACATCTCTGCAGGGTACCTCAGGTCTTAGGTCCAACCATCTTCAACTGCTTTATCAATGATCTTCCCTCCATCATAAAGTTAGAAATGGGAATGTTCGTTAACCATTGCACAATGTTCAGCACCATTCACGACTCCTCAGATACTGAAGCAGAAATGAAGGGTCGATTGGGTGACCGCTTCGCAGAACAATTACATTCTGCTCGCAAAAAAGACCCTGAACTACCTGTTGTCTGCCACTTTAACACACCACCCTATTCCCTGGACAATAACTCTGTCTCTGGCTTGTTGCAGGATTCTAGCAAAGTTCAAAGCAAGTTGGAAGAACAACACCTCATTTTCTGCCTGGGGACCCTGCAGCCCTCCAGACTCAATATCGAGTTCGATAAGTTTAGGGCCTAAACTCTCCCATGTCCTAGCCCCCTACCCCACAAAACAGGGCCTTGTTATCACATAGCCTGCCTTGATACACTACCTATTGTTAGTCACTAACAGCCCCTATTAACACTAATCACCCTCCTAGCCAGATTGTTATTAACTCCTTTGTCTATCCAATCACTCTCTCCTCAGGTTCTATCCTATCATTTACTCTCTACCCCATCCCGCTCCATATTTTCTGCATATAAACTGACATTGTCCCAGCTACCATCAGTTCTGATGAAGGGTCACCGGACCCAAAATGTTAACTCTGATTTTCTTCTTCACAGATGCTGCCAGACCCAGCAACTTTTGTTTTTGTTACCAAAGCAGTCCATGTTCAAATGCAACAATATCTGGACTATTTCCAGGGTTGAGCTAGCAAGTGGTGAGTAACATCCACCCCATACAAATGCCAGACAATGACCATCTTCAATAATCTATTCACCACGCCTTGATGGTGTTACCATCACTGAATTGTCCACTATCAACATCCATGGGGTTACTATTGACCAGAAACTCAACTGGACTGTCCACATAATCAGAGTAGCTACAGGAACATGTCAGAGGCTAGGAATACTGTGGCAAGTAACTCACCTCCCGACTCCTCAATACCTGAACACCATCTACAAGGCATAAGTCAGGAATGTGATGGAATACTCACCACTTGCCTGGATGACTGCATCCTGAAGAACACTCAAGAAGCTTGGCACCATCCAGGACAAAGCAACCAGCTTGATTGGCACCACATCCATTTCCTCCACCACTGACGCTCAGTAGCAGCAGTGTGTATTACCTACAAAATATACTGCAGAAATTCACCAAAAATCCGCGGTTACTTCCATCTAGAAAGATAAGGGCGGCAGATACATGGGAACATCATCAGCTTCAAGTTCTCCTCCAAGCCAGTCACCACCCTGACTTGGAAATATATTGCTGTTTCTTCACTGTGCTGAGTCAAAATTATGGAATTATCTCCCTAAGGGCATTGTAAGTCACCCTACAGCATGTGGACTGCAACGATTCATGAAGACAGCCCAGTACGATTTTCTCAAGAACAACTAGCGATGGGCAATAAATACTGGCCAGCCAGTGATGCATATGTTCCATGAGTGAATAAAAAAACAAGCAATGCACAAAAGGTATATAATTAACTGCAAAAGTAAAACTATTCCAATTGATAAATGGCAATCTAACTTTGAGATTGGATATTTCCCTTTTGCATTCTTGTACATATGCTAATTTTTGAGGGATGTATAAATTGAATATTTTTGTTTTTACTTTACAATTTCAGTAATTTCATTTAGGGAAGGGAAGTGCTGTCCTTATCGTGTCTGGCCTAATTGTGACTCTAGGCCCATAGCATTGTGCTAATTAGAGTTGGGCAATAAGCCAGCTGATGCCTTCATTCCATAAGCAAATAAAAAATGTTCTTTGGCAATTTAATATTTTACTTGTTACCTAATTTTGGCTGTCAATAATAATAGAGGCAGCCATGATACTGATTGGTTGCAATCTATCAGTGGACAAATGAAAACATTTTTCACACTGTTGCAGATGATGCTAGACTTCTTTTGTGATATTTTGATAGTTTGCATTTGAAGTCTAACTGAGGTCGTGGAGGTGAGTGGTGGGAAGAGTGAAACTCAACCATCCAGTAGTGTGTGACTCAATCTCTGTTCATTTAATTGGGAAAATGAATGCATCAACTCCTCTGAAAACTTCATGGAAGAGGGCAATTTAATAGTTGACACGCAAATTAACTATGGCATATACCAGTTATAGCAATCAATTGCTTGCTATATTCCTGAGTTCAATTAGACCTATTCTAATTTGAAACTGGTAGGTTTCATTCAATCTTCAAGTTTGGATTTCAAAGGTTCAGTTTTTAGATCCTTGCAAGCATTGCACAAGCGTGAACAGGTAAATGATTATATGTGACCTTTAATGTAAAGTGAAATTTTCCAAGATGGTCCATAGTTACATTATAAAGCAAAATATGACATGGAGCAACATCAGGCGATGTTAGGCCAGGTGACCAAATTCCTGGTCAAGAAGTAGATTTTAAGGAGTATCTTAAAGGAAAATGAGGTGTAGAGGTGGGAAGGTACAGAAAGAGAATTCCAGAGCTTGAGGCCAGGTAACTGAAGTCACAGCCATTTGTGTTGTAGCAATTAAAATTGGAGATGTGCAAGAGGCTAAAATAGAGGAAGATTGTAGGACTGAAGAAAATTAAATGATAGGGAAAGGCCATGACTGGACTTGAA